AAGGAAATATTTAGGTACTTTCTCATGGCTAAAAAAAGTAAATTATTTTGTTGATAGTTCGCAAGAGTTATTCCTTTCTACTTTGATTGGTTCTGCTTTTTCCTACAAAGATCCTGAAACTGGTTGTTTGACTAGGATTACTGTACGGTAATTCACAACTGATGAAGAGCAGTAAATCAAGAGCTTTTTTAAAGAATCAGGATGCTGATTTGGAAACCTCATTCTTCCTTTATACTCCATGAAATAAACTGATTACATGTCTAAGGGACAGAAAGAAAAACAGGAGAGGGAAAAATGTAGCAGTGCTTTTTTCTCAGCAATTTCTCTCCAAGTTTGATAATTAGATTTTTAAGTATCTTTGTGGATCATATCTGCTCTCTATAAACTTCCTTGCGTAACTGCAGCTAAACTTGTATATTGAAAGTGCAATGTGTTCTGCATGGGTACCATGGTATATACAGAAATGTTGATATATCATTTTCTGTAGTGTGCTATCACTTGATTGTTTATTAATGGTTAAAACAAAGAAAACTGTGAACTAATTCATTTCCCATATATTACAGCAAATCAAAAAAGTGTTGAAATGACTTTTTGATCTATAGTTTTTACCTAACCCAAGACGGTGAAGGTAAACTGGGATGAAGAACAAGAAACAATACAAAACTGGCAGTAACCATGTCTCCTAGACTGGTGAGAATGGCTCTTCTTATCTGTTAAAATTGGTGGATCTGGCAAAACAAAAACTGAAACAAAAGCTCCCCAGAATGCCACCCCAAGGACCTGCCAGCGCTGGTAGTTTCTGACCCTGCACTAGAAATCACTCTGCAAAAAGTTTCTGCTCAGTGCTAGGGGACAGCACAGGCACTCTGCTTGCTGAACTTCAAGGGTGAAATTCTAGTTACACAGAAGAAAACTGGCTTTCTTGTGACTCCTACCTGGTAAAAAAACTACTCGTAATGTGTTTTATTTGGAGCATTAAATTTATTTTAGATCTAGTGTTCAAATGTGTGAATTATACCACACAGGCTACCAGTATTTTATGTTATGTATTAATATAATGGAAAATCTAATTGCTAAAGTGAAAAATTGAGTGCTTCAAAGTATTTAAATAAAAGAGGGAAAACAAATACTATTGCTGGTTGATATTATAATCAGTGACTTAGATAAGGTGATCACCTTAGACCAGGAGCCTGATTAACAGTATTATTTATTAAAAAGATTTGGATAAAATTGAATTAAAATGAGAACATTTTGCTAATATGTCCAAAATAATATATATAGTCTGAAGATAATATTTAAATGTTTTAAGGAGGTAAACTTCTTAATTGTCTCTCAACAGTACAGCTGTCTCTGTAAAGCTTTGACCTCAAGTAATAAAAGAAAAACAATGTACAGCCTAGTTATGCATGTTTATATCCTGCTGGCATATGAGTGTTGTGTATAAACTCTAGTCCAGACCTTGGCACTGTAATGGCTTTGATCCCATAACTGTAAATTTAATGAGAGAACTTCTCAGTTACTGCAAGGGGGCAAAATCAGGCCCCAAAAAGTGGAAAAAGAAATTAAAATCCACTAGCATTTGCTCTCACATTCTTTTAAGATATGTATTTACCACATTAAAATTTCATAACAACTACATAAAACAAATAAAGGTACACTTATCCTGACACTATTTTAGTTCCAGAAAATTACCTACTAGATCTTTCAAGGTTAAGAAAACAATAAAAGAGTGCCCATTCTGTTGTTTTTTGTGGTTCTTTTTTTTTTTAACTTTTGTGTCTTGCAATTGTTATCATTAAAAAAAAAAAAGGTTCTCTTAATTTGAAATTGGCTATAAAGAAGAACATAACCATAGAGAACAAAGCAGAATATACCATTTGATGATCATGATTGCATTTTGCACTTGGGTGCAGGGTCTGTCTCTAAACTCTGACTCATCTGCCACCAGCAGGCTTTAAGGTGATAATCACCCACACAGAGCTATTTGCACATCATGTCTATCTTATCCTGTATCTAATTATACCCTTTATAACAAACTGTTTAGCATAATTAGTGGAGTTATGCTTTACAGGGAAAAAGACAGAAGCTATAGTTTAGAAGAGGCAACTTTTTGAAGGCATACATGTACAGATTAGTAACTTTGGCATTTGGTCACAATAATGAACATTTTGATGCATTGGTCTATGTAAAATCATACAATCATTATTTTAGCAAGTAAAATAATGTGGTTTTCAGGATATTTACATACTGTATGTAAGCACTGTTTAAATTTATGATATGGTTTTGGGACTCATTAATTGCTAACACTTTCACCAGTATTTTTCCAGACATAGCTGAAAAATGCTGAAAGGGCCAGCACTGAAATCAAGAATGCTGGAAATGATCAGAGAATCTATTTTTCAACTGGTAGACAACAGCAGGTACAAATGACCTTAATGGGAAAGCTCTGATTTTTGTTTTTTTGTTTTTTTCCTTTTTCTACCAGATGATCGGAAAGGATGTTTACTTAATGACCACTCTTTCTTTGTGTTCAAACTTTAACGAAGAGCTGCTTTAATACAAGATCCTTTGAGATAGGAGTCTCAAAAAGGAATGGAGAATGATACATATATGTGCACACAGGTAAATCTATTTTATTTTTCTTTCTTGCATTTGTTGCAGTTTTAAAAGTGTTGAATATAAGTCACTTGCAGAGGCATCTTTGTATGCTGGCAGTGTTGCCTTCATCCCCTCTGTGCCCCAACCCCATCCTCATTATATACTAGGAAGAGCTTGGAGCACGCAAAAGCCAATACCCCCTCCTCCCATTAGTGTTTGCTGCCTAGCAAAATAAAACCCAAACTGTATCTCCTGAGAGTAACTTCCTATCCCCATATGGGGAAAAATCCTACTGATACGAACACAAACATTGTATTAGCATAGATAAAAGAAGAAATCATGCACATCCATTAAAGCAGCCACAGGTAATTGATCCTGTTTGGTTTTATGTGTTAATTGTACTTCTGTTAAATACTCTTAGACACCAGTATAAATTTATGGATTCTATACTTGCTCAATAATTCTGCTATTTCTGTCTTACAAGAAAGATGTTCAGAATGTCGTGCAAGTTGAGCTATTTTCCCCCAAGCTATTTTAGAAAAAACACATGAGAATACCAAGCAGAGTATCAGTATTTACGTGTGCTCATCATGAAGAGATGCTCATGCTTCATCATTTCCAGGTAGGCAAAGAAATCTGTTGAATTCTACCACATATTATTCCAAGACATTTACAGTAGATTCAAGATAAAGCATATATTTCCTATGGAATGTTAAATAGAATTTTTCTTCATTTGTAATAGACAAACTGTACTAATCACCCCAGTGTAAAATACAAAGAGGTCAACAGTGCATCCTTTCAGGTCACCATTTTTTAAAATGTATTTGAGTTTCCCTATTAAGTTTTCAAAGGCCAACATCTGCTGATGCTCAGAAATGGTAGATGTGGTGACAAAGGCTGTATGGAGTGTGAAGTGAAAACACAACCATATAGTTCATGCATCACAGTACTAAGAAACTATACCACAACAAAACTCCAAAGAGCTATTTTCCCATTCATCCAGTTTCTGTTATTAATGGCAGGAATATTCCTGAGAACAGTGACATAAACGTCTTCTCTTTCATTTAGTTCTTCTATTAGTATCGTTAATAATAATATATAAACACAAGGTTTTGAAAATAGCATATCACAATGCATTTATAGTCATGCAAATACCAAAGACAACACAACAGCAGGAAAATTACATTATTAAGATGGAAGGCTTTCATTTGCACATTATTGTCATTGATGCTGTTTTGCTATTTAAATAGCTGCAAAACAGATGCCATGGCATTCAGCTGTTAGAGCTGCTCTCATTTGTAAGGAGGCTAGTTTTGATGGCATTGAACTTGCTGTCTAGAGCTTAACAAATCAGCACCATTCATGAGCTTAAGTAAACTGAGCTGATTTATAAATTCACAGACCTGACCCTGCATCATAAGAAGCAAGACAGTTTTACCCAAATTATAAGAAGCTTTTCAGTTTGGTATCAGGTGTGGCAAATTGCATTTTACTACTGTGATATTTTTATCATTGTGGTATTCCCACATCACACCAGTTGTGTCTAAGGCCTCTGCAAATCTGAGGCAGTAGGGAATATTTTTTCAGTTAGCCACAGCAGCATCCCATTTCTACCTCTCTGCTTTATTTGTAATTAACTAACGTGGTATGACTGTGTGCACTTCTCAGTTATGGAACTCATCTGAGACTCAGAGTTGAGTTACTGTGCACTTAGTCCTTTCAAGTGTTTTATTTAATTAATCATCTCTTTCATTGATATAGCAGTTCTTTAGGTAATGGTGTTATGCTTTCTTTGTAGTTCAAGTATCATATTTTGGTGCTTCAATTGCATATAGCAGAGCAGATTTTAGTGAAGGAACTCAATCCTGTTTATTTTGTGGAGTAAAGCCCAGTTTAAAGGCTGCCTGCGTTAATGCAAAGATTCCAGCAGATACACTGTATTTGCTAAGCTACATCATAAAAATGAAAACTCTTCCATTTATAAACTCTTCCATTTTCTCTTTGAATTTACACACACACATGCATGAAAATTAACAGTCCTATACTCTGTTAGTAGCAAACAACACTTTTTTTTTCCCGAAAAGATGCTCAACAGATATTTTCTGTGGAATGCTGTTTTAATTTTCTGCATAAGTCTCAGTTTTATAGCACTCAGTTTTCACCTGCTGATCAGAACTGATCAGAAAATTTGTGGCTGATGGCAGATGTGTTGTCAGGAGTGACAGTCTCTCTGACCATGTAATACAGTTACATATCAATGCAAGAGAGGAAGGCCAATACATAGCTCCTGCACTATAGAGCGCATTTTCAGAGAAACATTATCTACAACAGAAAGGGATGTTGGGAAATTAGATCCAAGAAGCTGAATGACAGTGCAAAACAAGACTGGTTTTATTACTTACTACCAATACTGGAAATACTGGGTATACCTGTAAAGAAAGAAAACACAAAAAAAGTATAGTTAATTATTTGCTGCAGTTGGCTGAGCTATTGCATCTAAGATTCTAAAACCAATTTTCTCCTCATTTTCAGAATATTGTATCAATACATGGTTAAACCCAAGCAACTGCTAATATGTACCCAGCTCTTTCAAATGCAGTCTTTAGCTTTTTCAGTACGAGGCTGCAGAGACCACTAAAATGTATTGACAGATGGGTATTTCTGGGACCTCCACCAGCTCCCTGAACTTCATGAATTTGTCCAGAACAGTTTTATATTCCATCTAACCAGCCATTAGGTTTAATGCTCTAGATAAAAATATCAGTCATGCATGTATTATGCAGATCTAGGAAAGAATTTAACCAAGGGATAGATGCACTGCTAACTGCTTTGGCCACCTGCTTAAATCAGTTGATACTTTCTGTTGCATTAACTGTATATAGCTGTTTCTTCCTCTTTTACCTGACAGTTATCTAAATTAAGCTATGAAAAAGTAATGTAACTGATCAAAACAATCCAATGCATTAGGTTGTCATATTGACTAAGCCTCTCATTGATTTTTTAAAATATTTGTATTTATTTATTCTCTCCCCATCTCTTCATTTCAATTCCTATGCTGAATTAATGCAAGGAAACTATTCCAGAGACAGGTGAGATTTACCAGAAAAGGTGGGGCTGCTGAGGAGTAAAACTCCTCTGCTGGATTAGCAATGTGGGATCTCATGTTGTGTGATGAAGTCCCAACACGTAGCTTGTTATCAGGTCTGCCCTGAAAGGTGAGTAGCAGAAAAATATGAAATCTTTCCTGAAAAGGCCATTTTCTGTAGATTAAATGGCATTGCTAATGACACTATTACTAGTCTCTTGGGTTACAGCTACAAATTGCAGATTAGTATTTAAATCCTGGGTATTTGCATCCTCACAGTTAAATACAGTTTGCCTTTTGTAAGTTTTATAGACTTTCGATGGCATGCATTTTACTGCAGAAATCTGTCTGTTTCTCCATTAAACATCTGCTGCACTTCTTTCAACATCTATCTTGAAGTTCTGTCTTACTTAGAGATGGCATGGACCTCATTCTGCAATTAAGCAAACTGGAGTGCAAGAATGTCTTGGGGATAAATGATATTCACTGTAAGCAAGGTTGTAGAGTCAAGTTGGGAACATTCGTGACTTGTGGTATGGCCAAGACAATGCTGAAGTAACTGCATTGGCAGAATGGCAACCATAAATGGATCTTTTGTGTTTCACCATATCAGTCCTGGGCTGTAACTGCAGCTCTCTGGTTTCATATCCTGTGGAACCTGTGGTTGGGCATAGCACCGGGCACTGCACTGGAGACAGCACTTGCTGCTAACCAAGCCCTGCAATCAGATGTTGCTTTCCAATTTAATTACTTCTACTTCTTCTAAGATTAACATGTATTTTCCAAAATTTTAGAATCATGAGGTATTAAATGCTACTTAAGAATATCCTCATAATAGAACAGTGCTGTTATAATTCTGAAAGTGCTTTTTATTTTCAGTTGGGATGAGGTAAGAGAATTCTATCCCTTTGCCTTAAATGTCAAAAAGGCAATCAATTTTCAAATATTTTTCCCTGGAGTTTCAATAGCAGCTTGTTTACATTTTTGCAAGTCATTGTAGCTGTTTTAAATTAGCAGGATTCATTTTCCTTTATACACTGATGGAACCAGCACAAATATTAGATAAAATACAGATACTGTGTTCTCACACTCATGCTTCCACTGTGAAATGCTATTTGTATTTCCTCTGGGTATACTCCCCCGCCACAAACCTCTTTCTCTCCTACACACACATACAAATATCCTTTCCTTTCTCTCCTGAACAGATTGTAGCAAAGGGAGAGGTTTTCCTGCAAGTCTGCTCTCCTCATTTTACTGTATTTCAAAATTTTCAATGAATTCATAGTGATAAATGCTTCCTGGGCAGAGAATAATGAAAACAAGATGCCTGCTAGCCTGAAGGGCTCCGTATTAACCTTGTGAAGTTGTCTTCAGGTTCTGTACAAAAAGCTCTTTTACTGTTTCTGCACAGTTTCTGGGTTGGTCTGATCTTCTGTAACCAGCCTGATTTCTGTAATACCAGGTATCCCTGTGTGTGATTGACTGGCCTTGATGGTGCACTACTTAATTTCCTTTCTGCTAAAGTGAGTGAGAATGGCACTTTGGAGTTTGTCTGGAAAAGAGCTGGTTATGTAGGGCCATGAAGCAAGATCCATTAATACTCTGTGAAAACCGCACATATGATGGGAAAATTATTCTTAGTACGAGTGTTTTTGTGAGATCTGGAGTTGCATTTTGAGGCTAGCTCTTGAATTCAGCTGAGCTGTATTTGGTGCAAGTCCTTAGATAAGGAGGCACAGGAGGTGTGATTCTGTCAGTGTGGAGGCACGCAGGGTCCAACCACACGGCCTTCCGTGGCACTGCCACTGGGAACACCAACAGGCTGCAGGGAGTCATCCCACCACTGCTAGCCTTTCGGATGGAAACTGGTATGTTATGTGATGTGGATTGTTTCCAGTAAACCTGGTATTGAAATCTGTGGGTGTTTTGCAGCAGTGAAATGATGTGAGCAGGTTACAGAGAGAGATAAAGAATCAGGCCCATTACTTCCGTGAATGCACAATTCTATTCAGCTAAACATAAAGAGTAAATAAAACCAAGTGATTGCATTTATGTCTATTCAGTTGTTAAACCAAAGCAATGTTCAGTCTAAATTATCTTCCAGTTGAAATCACTGTGATGGTTATTAATGGTAATAGTTTTACAGTGAGAAAACAGCAAGTGAAGCATGCAAAGAAAGTTCAGGGGTAGCTACTGCCCCCAAAATGGCAAACATTGCAGAAGAAAGTCTCTAACACTATTTATTATTTTTGACTTGACCTGAGGGTGGTGGTTTTGTATATTACATGTTCACTGTAAGTGCATCTAAATATACATGCGTTACTTGAAAGAAAAAAATCTGGTGTTTTCCTTTCATATGATCTTCTGCATCTGCCTTGTAATTTTCTCATTTCCCCTTTTTCCAGAAAGGGGTTGTTTTAGCTTTTAGCTATTAGATACCATGTAGCTGACTACTGAGAATGGAGAAAAAAGCAAATCAGATGCTAGCAAAGAAAGCAAGTGTCCGATTTCTTCTATCATTTGTGTCGGTGTAAAATCCATAACACAAAGAAAAAGCATTTAGCTTTCTGTGAGAAGGACTACACTGCCACTGCCAGTCTTACTTCCAGGGCAGCTCATACACTGCAGTCTCTCTTATCACCATAATCAATGGTTGTGTGTGCTTATCGCCAGGAAGTGCATTGAATGCAGCCAGGCTGCATCTCTTCCTGTGGAGGTAGTACACACGGGATGAAAGAATTATTCTGTTGTCTTGGTCTTAGCTACCATCCTTCCCATAGACTTTTCTACCTCTCCTCCATCACAAGCTGAATGTGCACCTGTTGTATGACAGGGAGCTGGGGACAGGCTCCTGCTGCTATCAGAACACTACACCCAGCTCACAGTTCACTTGCATCACCGAGAGCTCAGTGAATTATCCAGGTGAGGTGAATGCAGCCTAGAGACTGAGAATTCATGGCAGGATATGATGATAAATTATGCAGTGCAAGTCTGGATTCATATTAATTGCTGATCAGAGCTGTGTGAGATCTTTTCTGACAAAAGAGACATCCTTATAATTACACTCTACACCACACATTTTAACTCTTAATCAGGAACAAAATGTAGAGCTTTCCATGGCAAGGAGTCAGAACAGGGCTGTTAATGTCACCTCTGATCTTTTGCTAGAATATCTGTGCTGCAGCATGACAACACTCCCTGCAGTGTCTTTTTTCCCTTTGCAACTTTTCCACTGAGGCACGATTGCAGTATCAGATCCTCAGCAGCAATTCCAGAAGTTTTGAATTCTCTAGTCATTTAAAGCCCTGAGAAGCTGGAGGAACCGAGCATCTTGTAATCCCTCAAAGGGAGAGATAAGTTACGATCATAGGAGTAAACTTTCATGTATTGCCAAACCTGTATTCAGCTGAAGGACCAGACACAGTGGAAGACCAAGTTCTTAGGAAATTTCACTTGTGTTTCATTGCACACATAGAACTCCTGCTCCTGTTAATTTAGCAGTTGCTTGCTCTGTAAAAATTGAAAAGTTTTCAATTTTTAGAAAAAGACCTGCTTAGATGAAGTTTGTTATCTTCCACCTCTGCTTTCCCAAGCAATATTGACACAAATTAATGGGACAGAGAAAATACGTAGTTACTAGTTTATTGGGTAACAACTTTAAAAATTTGGATGACTTCTTATGTTGTTTTAGTGTCTCCAAACCAACACTGAATACTCTCTGTTGAGGAAACTCCCACTGAGATCAAAGTATTTTTTCCAAGTAATCCTCACTTATTGGTGGAATATTAGATATTAAAAACTTCAAAAATCCCAAACCAGACCATTTTTTAGAACTTTAAGTATCCTAGAACAGACATTTTGCCTTCCCATACTGTTGCTTAAGGCCTAGAACCCTCTTTGATTACTTTTCTTCACTGTATACAGCAAAAATAGAGTTGTATGATGGCAGCAATTAATTTCCCTGCAACAGATGCCACCATACCCCGCTCAACCAACCAACTCAGCAGGGTCACACAAGTGAGTAGAAGGCTGCAGAAAAATTTTTCAAGATACATTAAAAAAACCCCCAAAAATAGCACATTATTCGTAGCACATTGGCTTTTAGGTATGTACTTTCAATGTTTTGCTGGCCACTGCAGACGATAACAAGTTGGAGGGTAGTTAGTTTATCATTTGCAGGTTTCTCTGACACTTCTGTCTTCCTGAATGCTCTTGGTACACTACAGTTTTGCCCTCACCACCAAGTGTCCCAGCCTGACATAGCTTTTGTGTAACATCTTCCTTTGGCTTTCCATCTTCTATAAGCTTCATGAACCCCAGAATAATGTGCAATATAAAATAAGA